AGCGTCTGAGTCAAAAGCAAAGTGCAGAGCAAAGATTGCAGCTTGGGGGCTCTAGCAGGGAGCATCTGTGCTTGGTAGCGTGCAGACATCTTTCTAAGCTGGCTGTGGGCCTTACCGTTTGTGATACGCAGGAGCTGGCTTCTGTGCTGAGAAGCTTGTGGCCTGAATATCTGGTCATGCCATCCCAAACTAGCAAGGCATTAGGCTGTCCAGGTACTGAAACAATGTCAAAAGCACCTGCACTGCCTTCTGCTACTTGGCTTCCTTTCAAAGCTTTCAGCATCTGTGTGTCTGGCCAGTTTGGAGCCATAGCTTGGCGATAGGCCTGCAGAGAGAGGAGAGGTACCTTGAGTGTTTGTGATGCATAGGAAGGAGTCTGTCTGGATTCTTGTTGGTGCTGAATGAGGCACAGGTTTAGCAGAGCTCTTACAGGGGCTGCACAGTTCCCTGCCTGCTCTGTTAGTCCAGGCATCTGCAGTCTGGCGGGCTGTCACTGCATAGTCTCCTTACTGCAAGGCACTGCTGGTCTATGAGGAGCCAGCAGGAATGCGGGAGTTTGTCTCCTGTGCTACCTGAACTACAGGGACCACAGCCTCCAGAAGGACATGTGCAGGCAACAGTAGGGCCTTAAAAATAGCCTGGAAAGAGGAGCTAGACCTGCTCCAGGAGATCCTTCAGCTAGTGCTGGGCCAATCCTGGGGCAGAAGGGCTTACTTGTATGCTTCTACCGGAACTAGAGCAGTGTCCTGAAGCTCCCTTGGGGTGCAGTCACCACTGGCTTCCCCATGCATGCCTTCTGCCAGCAGAAATGGGAGATGCTGCCTTGGCATCCATCACCATCCATGCTGTCCTTCATTTTCCATCCCTGTTTGAATGCCTTTCCTTCAAGCTTACGCTCTGTTTACTGCTGTGTTAGCCTGGGGAGCAGAAATGTTCTTGGCGCAGATGGTGATCTTTGTACCGACATGGAGCCTTTCCAGAGGGAGCCGCAATGTCACGGCTGAGCAGCAGCGGTGGGAGTTGCTTGGTGGAATGTCCCAAATGCTCCCTCCCTCCTCGTTGCTCTCTGCTCCTATTTTTGTTTATTACGTCTTTGTTTCCCTCCCGCCCACCCCTCTTGAAATACTTTATGGGTCAACTGTCCTTCTGCTGGCTGGAAAATAGTTGTTATTGGATGGTCTCATGTCAACGGGCGAGGCATCATGTGCCCTCAGTGTGAGAGCACAGCCAAAGACTTGCTGTTGAAGATACAAGTCTGAAAAGGCCCATTTTTCTCTTCCCACCACTCCTTCTGCAGCTTCCCACAGAAGGTACCTAAGGTGCTTAATCTTTGTGCTGGTCCTCGTCCTTAGGTATTGCGCAGGCTTGAAGTAACCATTCTGTTTCATCTCTGAGCTCTTAGCCAGGCTGCTGGGAACGTCCCTCACTCCAGCTAACATCATTTAGATGGCCGATCTGGAGTCACAGACTACTTTGGCTGGGGTGCTCATATGCAGTTATAAATAGTGTGTGCTAATGAGTGCTTCTCAGGTTAGAGAAAGGTAGTTTAGGGGAATGAGCCTTCAGAGTGAAAGGTGAAGAAGTTGGCAATGGGCCTTAGTTTCTTTGGGCTATCCTCAAAATAGCTCAATCTCCTTTGTTGCTGCTTCTCTTGGACATGCATGACCTGTACCTTGCTCTGGTTTTGTATTGTGGTGAGCAGCCATACCTGAGAATGCAAGGCAGCGGGTACTAAGCGACTGGATCATTTTGGAGTCGAGCATACCTGGTGGAAGCGACAACCAATTTTTAAAATGTGCTGATCTTGCCATATCAATAAGGTAATGGGAAACTGGCTTGACATAGCTAGAAAATGAATTATGAGCTAGTAGTTGCCTTCAGGTTGTTTCCTACAGATGAGGGTAACTGGTCCCTTGTAGCCACTGCGGAAAGATCACAGGCTCAACTGGTAGAGACAACCCTTGTCCTGCAGGGGCACAGCTGGGGTGTTTAGGGCTGGACAGTCTGACACTCCTTTATGCTGTCTCCACCAAAGCTCCGATGAGTCAGAACTGCCCTGCTGCATTCAGGCTTGTGTTGACAAAACACACTGCGGGGAAGAATGACTATTTCATGCATTGTTATTATTACTACCAGCATTTAGAGGAGTGTTGGTTTAGTAAATCTGTATGGGGGGGAAGGGCTGGATAAATTGGATGGTGGGAGAAGAATAAAGTGTTTTCTCAGCAGTCAATGCTAGCTATTAAAGATTTTCTGTGTCCCTTGGCCCATACCTCAGGAAAGGGAAAGGAACTTAGTTCAGGTTTTTCATGTGACCCTGTGTCTTGAAGCACCAGATCCATCCGAACTCTGGGAATGGCAATCTTTTCTGTGGCTGGAGTTGTCATTGGATTAGTCCCAGTAAGTGACAGCTTGTGGCTGACCCCTGCAGGACTCATCTCTCTTTTTACCACCTCTCATTCAGCAGCTCACTCTGGCAGGCTCTGCAAAACCCAAAGCAGAATTTGTACTGATTTTCCTGGAATGGCTCTTGTGGTAGTAGTGGGATTAAAGCCCTCTCGCCTCCTCTTTCTCATCCCAAATTTATTTCCAAGCGGCCTTATCTGTCATGGACCCAGCTATGTAAACCTGACTCCTCTGGCTGAGCCCTGAGCTGGCCCCATTTCTAGGAAAGCTGGTGGTGCTGCAGATCACCCTGTGCCTACTTCTCCCTGCAGAGCCTTTCTGCTCTTGGCACTG